TAATATCGTCTGAGCTTCTCGTCGAAGCTTCAAAAAAAATTGACAAAACACACTTTTTTACTTTTATAGAATAAAACTTCAAACAAATAATTTAATAATTCATGGGTAGTATTCATATTATAGATATTCCTAACATTATAAATATAGGCGTATTTTGATGAAAATATTTGTTGGGAATAAATTGATTTTTTCCCGCATCCTTTTTTTATAAATACATATTTTTTTAAACAATGAGAAAAATATTTTAAACATAAATTTTAAAATAATCATTGGCGAATGAGGGTTTTGTCTTGAGAGATATACATAACAAAATTTTTCACTTTCCTCTCTAAACGAAATAAATTTGTATCATTGCTATACAATAATTTTTATAATTTAACACTCATCTTTTCTATAATTACTGCAGTACAAATAATAAGAAATAGATATTAAAAATTTTTTTATTTTTTTATTTTCTTTGAACACAAAAAATATATTGAAATAATTATAATAAATAAATAATACTTTCTTAAATTATTGTCAAACTGATATACTTGCTAAGTACATATTATTATTATGCATTTATTATTAATCTAATACAGGGGCGTCATTTCAGTTTTTTTTTTTGGGTGTGCAATAATTTTAAGTTGGCCTTTTTGAAATTTCATCAGGCCATATAAAAATAGATATACCTACTAAAATAAATACAATGTTTTTGAAATTTGAATTAATGTATAAAAAATTGGTGCATATTTTTGCAGGCCAATTGGGATTGTTTTCAGTAAGGGTGCAACCGCACACCTTGACCCCCTTTAAATGACGCCCCTAATTTAATGTCACACAATGTATAATCAAATTAAAAAATGGCCATTTATGAGGTTATCATTTTTATTAATGCTTATTATTAATTATATAAAATATTCAATATTTTTATTAAACTAATATTAAATATTTATATGCTGGCTTATTTATTTTTATTAAAATCATCTATTATAGAACAAAAAAAAAAGGTGCTGATAATAAAATGAAAAAACGGTATTTGATTTTACAAGAAAATGATTTAAATATAATTTATGCACAGATTGAAATCTGACAGTAAGTAACATCACTATCATAAAATTCTTCGATACTAATTTTTTAAAAAAAATGTTTTGAAAGGAGAAGGAGGATTTATTATCTTTCCAACCATTCACTTTCAATGCGTCATTGAAGTCGACAGTAATTTTAAAAAAATTCCTTAAAAATTTGTGTACAATAGTTCATTTAAATATTAAATATTTTTACACAAAAAATGTACTTTTTTCATTATCTTTGATGCCAAAATATTTTTAAAATTAAGTATATTACATAATCTCTATTTTAAGACATATGTTAACATGTATGTTTTCGGGACATTTTCAAAAGTTATGTTGATATTATTCTACTTCTTGTAAGCATGTTTCAAGCTTTGAACCCATCCTTTGCAGGGGACGGAGTCAAATTATCAAACAAGTATGCCAAATATAAGGCGAATATTTTTGCCTAACAAGGTGCTTGTTTTTTTTCGCTCTAAACTCAAAATATTGTTGAAAATATATAAAAAAAAAAACAAATTTTGAAGCCATAATTTTAATATTAAGTACTTATCCATATCAGCTAAAGGTTTCCCATTTAAAATGGTTATGCTGTATTGGTCATTTTTGTAAAGCGTCTATCCTTTAGAATATCCCTTTTTTAAGCGACGTGATAGTATAAAAGCTGAGTTGAGTTAAAATTGCTAAGTTTAAAAAATAAAAACCTAAATTTATGTGTATTTTAAATGGAAATCTTTACAAATACACCATAGTAAAATGAATATTTTTCAGTTTTGCATCGAAGCTAAAATAAGTAATAATAACAGCCAGTAAAAGCTTTCGACTTATAATCATGATTTTACTATAAAACATAAATCTGTGGTTATTGTTTTTTCTTAGTTTTATAACATGAGGTTACTTTAGTTTAGTTGAGTTTCTCATGCAAATTTTTTAGTTGTTAATTGATGTTATTAATATAGGTTTTGGGTATTGTTATGAAGTTGTTTGTACATATTAATTAGGGAGCTTTTAAAACTATTATCAGAAATTTGTTTTGGGTGGTTTATTTTAAGTTTATTAAGTTTATTTTACTACGAATAATTAAAAAAAATATTTGTTATAAATATTTGAAATTTGACGTTGGTTTGATGTCAAAATAATAATTGTACAATGATTTTACTTAAAATGTGCTTTTTCAAGAAACAATAAATTACTCTTTAGACTTTATTTTCCAGAGTTGATACATTATTACCCGCATAACAAACAGTTAATTAAACAGGCCAATCATGAGAACCTCGAGTTTCTAATTTAAAAACTTTTATAATAGCAGTGGTGTTTTGAGTGGTATATGCGAGCATATGACGTATACACTCACTAAGTTATGTCAATTAACGTGTAATCTGTAAAAGTACAACAATACGTGGGAATATGTTTACCTTGCGTATATGTGTGCTATACATTGTGCATATCTTGAAATAAAATAAAAACTGTAAGTATTTATTATACTATATGAGATTTAAAGCTTGATTTATTTGAATAGTGTATTAAGTACATAATACAAATACATTGTATTTTTATCTTTATCAAATAATATTTATCAATAAGTAAAATCAAGTAACAACTTAATTGGTTATTATCAGTGCTTGAATTGGCCAAAAATAAGTAGGGGAGCTCAACTTCAAAAACAATTTGAAAACTGCGTCCCTAGCATTTTGAAGACCTTTTTTTTTTTTACTCATTACTTTATTTAGTATTTATTAATAAATTATATTTCATTATCATACTAATATTTAAAAAAAAAAAGGTGGTATTTTCCACCGTCCTCATAAAAAAAAGTAGTTGGGGTGCGCAAAAAAAATTTAAAAAAAAGTAGAGGAGCTACGTCCCCCTGCGCGCCCCCCCCCCCCCAATTCGAGCACTGGTTATTATAATTTTGATTTTAAAATTTCAAGAATAGTTGAAAAATTATGTGTTTTATGTATAAATTATACATAAAACAATGCAAATTGAGTATTATTTAATAATCGCAAAAGTAATTATTTAGTGTTGATAATAAATCCATCATTAAATATTTTAATAAATAAAATTTAAAATAAAAAATATCATTTCTTGACACAACAATAAAACAGAAACTCCATAATATATAGTTAGATATATTTTTAACCCTTACGGTCTAATATATATACATTTATAAATTTTGTTTGAGCCATTTTAAAAAATCTGAAATTTATCCAAATTTGTTATTGGAATATAAAAATTTAAAAATCTTTCACTAATTGTTGATAAAATTTTAGGTGTTAAACACAATTAATACAAAAATCTAATTGTTTATTAACATTAATAAAGGTTTAATCTGAATAGAAGTAATCTGTGATACTATTCAGTTATTTGCAAGATTGATATAAATTTTACCTGATTATTGGATTTCAATGCAATTATTTATAATACTAGTTTAAATATCAGATATTAAAAAAAAACTGATACCGATAAATTCGACATCGAATAATTTAGTCAATATCATAAATCCAATTGCATATTAGTGTAATCCTACTCGTAATATTTTTTCATCGTACCCAACCTTATTTGAACTTTTTTTTTCATCATATAAAGAATTGAGAAACCATTTTTAAAATTCATAAAAGTAATAATTAATATAATTATCAACTAAGTGATTATACAATTAATTATTAGTCATTAAAAATAATTGAAAAAAGATTCTATGTTAAGTACATTATCCTCTTTATTATGAATGAATGTAAATGTTTTCTCAGTTAGTTTTAATATCATTACCTTTTCAAATGAGCTTTTTATATGATTGGAAATAAATCCAATAATATCCCTATGATATTTCTACGTTCAACCATTAATTAATTACAATCAATGAAAATTAAAGAACGAAAAGCTCTAAATTAAATCTAATATTTCAGAAACCCATCAACGACAAATTAATAAATAAAAACAGTTTTGAAAATGTTAAATTTTTTGCTTTTGGGTAGTACAAAATTAGACTGCAAACTATATTATAAAATAAATTTAATAAGGATGTGTTTTTATCATCGATGTACTTTAATAATTTTGAATTAACCCTTCACATTTTGGGCGTTAATTTATTTCTCTCTTATTTCCGTTATTACATGAAGTTATTAGGTAAAGAAAAAATTAGATGTCGACAGCATATAAGGTAAGTAATTACTAACGAATTGAATATTAAAATTCACGATTCAAAAAATTTAAAAATAGTATAATTATTAACATACATGTATAGATAATTCTTAACACATATGATATAATGGAATAATAAATATTGATAAATATATTTATTTGTGTACGAACTTTCGATACTTTATCTCAAATTTACACTACTGTAAGTAAAAATAACGCGTATATTAAAAATATTATGCTGATATAAGAGAATCTTTGTATCATTTCTTACAGTTTATTCACTAAATGGTTCTTGAATTTAACAAGCAAACTTCTGATCCACTAAATTAATTGAGGCCATTTGTATTTTAAAATGTATGACTACTTATTATAATTCATAACATTAGTAGAGAAATATTAAGAGTTCTATTAAACTATATAAAGTATATGAATAAAAATACTTTTATTAATATTTTTAAGCAAAACGAAGACATAAGTCTTAAATAATACAATGTTTGTACATTTAACATACATTCCGATTTATGTTTTATATTACACGAAAAAAAGTATAGAAAAAATTATATTAAAACGTAGTATTTTTTTATTTTATATTATTCGTCCTACAAACAAATATTCATATTTGTAAGAATGGTTTGCATTTTGCAACTTTGGGGTAACGTAATTTTAGCGACTAGTGGTTTGAAATTTCTTTTATTCTCTGAGACTGGTCCATAGCCGAGATTATTATTATTGTTGTGAGTTCGGCCGCAACAGCCGACAGTCGCGCCACCATCTCACAGCGGACGTGCCACACTTAACCAACAGTAATGGTATTGCGGTCTGTGGATGGCCAGTGTTGTCACATTCGCGGCGCGTTTCAGTCCTCGTAGCCGGCTGTTATCATGTAAGATGATCAACCTTACGATTGATCACGTTTTCGTAGAAAACTCATCGTGAACGACTAACAGTTCGAACATGTCCGACTTAATACAAAAAACTTTTATTGTTTCCTTTTTTATGGCCACCGTTGCCATACGAGAATTACAGTGTGCATATTGTGACGATCACAAATTTAAGGAACAAAAGCCAGGTGTTCAATTCACCAAAGAGTTGACATCGTTCGAATATGGAGCCATCAGTTCGTTCAAGACACTTCACTGTTGCGGCAAAAAGTATCTTAGTCTTGAATGGTAAGACCTCAATTTCCATATGTCTTTAAATAACCTAACTAAATATAATTTAGTTTTTGAGACAATTATTTACTCAATGCAATTTAATACTGTATATAAAATATTTGCCTGTTGCAAATACACTAAAGCGATAATTTTCGCAAATTCTTAAAATTTTTTACAACCTTCAAAACTTAAAAAATATTAACCGTCCTATCATCAAATAAAATTTGGGTCAGCGAAATTGTGTATTACAACACAAATATATATATATATATGTGTGTGTTAGGGTTAAATCAAATGTCTTTTTTTTACTTTAGAATGAAAGAATCTGAAATCTCGATTTCTAGGAATTATTGTGCATCAAAGCCAAATATTTTCAATAAAAATTAAGTATATGGCATTGTCTTTAATTTGACGTAGGCTTAATGAAGACTTTTTTAAATAACATTATCAAAAGTTTTAAATAAAAAAATATTGATATCATGATTGAAACAATCTAGTACTGAGTATATAGTACTGAGAGGAAACTTCTCAGTACTTCGGTTAATTTTAATTAACCTAAGATTTTTAATCTGACGAAAGAGATTTCAAATATATATAACTTAGTTTTAGTAAAGTATTAATCAAAAACCATAAGAACATAAACCATAATATAAAATAAAAAAATAGTTTCCCTAACTAAATAATTAATTGGTCATCATATAATAAATTTAGTATAATTATCGTACTTAGCGTAAAATTTCTTGTGAAATTTCCTTTACGTGAGTTTTATTTTCGTAATTCTAAATTAATTAAAAAATAAGTTAGGAGGCAGAGAAGTTATTTTTAAAACTGCTTTATCAACTCAACTTAAGAGAATAGGGTACGGGTTAACTTTAACGTATTGGGCCCAAATTTTTTACAGCTCATATTTATGAGCTTTAAAAAAAATATTTACAATGTCTCAAACTTAAATAACAACGCTTATAACTTTTTATCAATTATTATAATTAAGAATTTTTTTAAAATAATTATTGTCTTAGACAACGTTTAAAGCCTTTTCTTATTATTTAATGTTCAGTAAGTAAGGAAATGGGTTTCTATTGTTCTCATTGTTTGTAATTGACCTGTTTTCTTACTTACTGAACGTTCTGTATATCACAATTGGGAAAAAAATATTATATTTAAAAATTTTAAAACAGCTTTTTTTTAGTCCTTTTTTTACAAAAAAAAAAAATGATAGATTGATATCAATTTCAGTACCAGTAATAATTGAGTTACAAGCATTTTATTACATGGGTGGAATAGAACGCCGGCGAAGTATATGTACATAAGTATAAGTAGTAGTGGCACCCACCCTCACTAAATACTCACTTTATGTATTAAAGTGCTATTTATTATAAAAAATGTCTATTTTGAAATTTTGAAAAAACATTTTTAAACATATATATATATATAATAAACTATGTTTATAACGTAGTATAAAAAGGCAATTGTTTTTTCTAAAAAAGTTTCGATTAAATTATAATTGTATGAAAAGTTATAAGCGTTGTCAGTTTGGTTTAAGACATTCTGTATACCTGTAAACCTGTATATATATAACTTGTGGGGGTGTTTCTTTTTTTTTTTTTTTAATAACAACACACTTAATTAACTAGTTTAATAGATAGATATTGATTTATTTAAGAAAATTACTGGTCTATAACGATTTTTGGACCTGTATTACAGAAGTTATTAAAAATTTAGAGTATTGACTGGAAATGAGACACAAGTGGTGCTATTTTTATCACAAAACATTTCTCGGCCTCATTCCTCCTATCTTCTAAGTATAGATTAGGGTGGTCCTAAAATTCCAATGTCTTTTTTTTTTTACGCTACCCCTTAATTTTTTTTTAAAGTCAAAAAAATGAGCTGTGCAAAATTTGGGACCGATCCGCTAAGGTTAACCCGTGCCCCCCGGGCCTATTAAGTTGAGTTGAAGATGCAGGACATTTTTTCCGATAATTGGTTACTATTTGTTAAACGTATTGTTTCTGCTCTTCATTTGTAGTTAATATATTGTTGTAGTCTTCGTTAGATTTATTTAAAGTAATTAATTTGAACACTGATTTTTTGAAAATGGATCCATCATTTTGGAGTGCGAACAATATTTACATAAATGCTTTAAATACTATAAGCAAATTATGAGTCGTTAATGATACATACGAGTGTAGCATTAAAAATTAATCGAAAACTACAACAATTTCCTAATTGTAAAAAAAGTACATTAACAAAAAATATTTTGTTTTAAAGTTATTATTATTTTAAACAAAATAAATTAAAAATTGTTCATAACAAGTAAAATATTTTATAAAAAAAAATTATGTTATAATAAAATCAGGTTTGTTTTCTGTCCATAATATAATAAATGTTAACTCGAGAAATTCTTTAAAGTCATTCCTTGGTTGTCAAAAATTATTATCTTTTGATGTTCTGGTTCTATAATTTTTTTAATATTACTTTCAAAAATGTAGGGTTTAAAAAATTCTTTATTTAAATCATTCCAAGCCTGCTGAAATCGCTTGAAAATTGGTACGTCTTTGCAGTAGAACAACTAATTTTACTATCGAAAATGCTTTTGAGTATAGTTTCAAAAATATGGTGGCGGCAAGGTAAATAAAGCAATTCTTTTTCTAAAAATCGTTCCAAAACATAAGTACCTCTTAAATGACCACTATTGATAGCAGTTCTATCGAAAGATAACGCTTTTACTGATTTATTTATGTTCCATTGGACTAAAGTTTCATATAGCAATAATATTTGATTTTTAGACAAAATATAATACTACAATAAATTTTGTTACGTTGTTCATTAATAATTAATTAACTATCCATAAAATAATAAATCTAGTATAATTATCGTACTTTGCATAAAAAATTAAACTTTTAGAATTTTTTTTTTAACGAATAAACGTTTACCAAAGAATAAAATGAAAATAAATAAGTAAAATTAAACAAAATCAGTTATAACGTATTTTTAAGACTTTTACATGTTTTATACTGTACGTAGTGTTTTTGTGGGCTATTTATTAAGAAAACAACATTGAAATTATTATTTTTGAACTTCTTGTAAAATTTCCTTATTTGAGTTTTACTTTCATAATTCTAAGTTAAGCAAAAAAAAAAAATGTAAGAGACATAGATCAGTTGTGTCTATTAAATTTGCGTCTTCTACTCAACTTAATAGGCCCGGGACGCACGAGTTAACCTTAACGAATCGGTCCCAAATTTTGCACAGCTAATTTTTTTGGCCATTAAAAAAAAAAAAAAAGACATTCGATTTTTGAGGGCTACCCTAGTATAGATGTTTTAATATTTTTTTAAATAATGGTCCAAAGTTGATATTGACCAGTTTTTTTCTTAAATGGAGATACATGTAACTATAATAGCCAAGAAAAATAAATTGACATAAAAATTATTATTTTAAGAGAAATTGACTGGCTATGCTAATAAAAGAATCATTCTGTATACATTTATTTTTTAACGTTTTTGCAATCCGTTAAGGGTTGCATTATAAAAGCCTCCTTTAGGAGAAAGTTTTTTAACTATAGATACTCCAAGATCAGTTGTCAGTATTAGGGATGGTGTTTCAATTACTACTAAATTGTAGTAACGAGTCTCGAACCTGAAACAGTGTGGCACAGGTATTGCCGCGTTGCTAACTCAACCTCACTATCTCTCTTTACAGTTTATTTTACCTTTGTTAAATGTAATATTTACGAATTACCAATACAACTACTTTATAAAGATTAAAATTTGTTCAAACAAGGTTAAATTTATTTATTGTTAACATTACGGTTAATAGCCCATAAAACACAGTATGTATTTGACAACAAATTAATTAACTTAAAATTATCATAGAAGCTGTGAGTTTTAAAAGGAAACTGATATAGGAATCGTATTTTCTGTTAGATAAAGAAGGAAGTTGCTAGAAATTTTGAATAGGAGTTAAGTCATGAGGTGGAGGGGAATATTAAGGATAAAAGCAGCAAAGCGCACAAATTTACGCTAGTCTCTTTCGAGCAACATAAAGTCTGTAGCTGTATAAGAATCTCATAACACCGAACCATATTTGGGAATAGGGCAATTTATTCGAAAATAAATTAAAATGTTACTCTTAAACATAGAATTTAGACCTGAAATAAAATCGATTGTCTGACAAAAGTATCATTTATACACAGTTACTATTAAGAAATGGCTCGCAATATTTTAAAATTCAATTCAAACCTAAAGAAATATGTATTTATATTTAATGTTTTTTATCGATCATCTATCAATGATATTTATCAATTAATTCCAATTTCGGATAAACTTGTATTAGTCAGTTTTAAATTTTCATATATAATTTTCAACCTTGATCTATTTTTAAGTTACGTCGTCGTTACTTGATTTACCGCTTTATTGTTTTCTTGGAATTAATAATAAATGTGTTTTATACCAAAACTGATTGAACAAATTCTACGAAATCTTCTTTTTTCCAACAATAATATTCTAACAACTATCGTGTATGTATTTATTCTGATAAATCGTGTGGAATCAATACTCTTCTGTTTTCAATAATTAATATATTGAACGGTAGTTACAGAGATGTACTAATTTAAGTTGAATATTGAAAAAGTATCTTTTAAGTTTGTCTGATTTTTATCAATCAACATTGTTCATTTCTTAACCACAAAATATAAATTATTTATAAGTATTTCGTATACAGTATACGAAATACTTATAAATACCACAGTGGTTAAAATAACCATATCGGTTATTGGTAATTGACCGGAAAGAAGATAGTAGAAAACGGTTCTTAATTATAATATTCACATTTGCCAAATATTTGAAAACTACTTAAATTAAGTTGTAAATTATACGTTTCATCGATTTTGTATTGAATCACTGACAATTCCAAATTTCTTATAAATATTTATGTCGGTACAGTTTGAGAATAATTTGTAATAGGTAACGTTCATTTTTTGGATGCTAGGCCAATAACCCCGTTGCCATAGTTGT